TTCATCTGAAGGACTTCAGAACATACAAAATACTCGTAATTCACTGCTTGCAAGAATTTCTCTTGGAACACTGGCAAACACAAAAGGAAGACAAAGTTTTCTAGTATGTTTTCTATGTTTTACTTTTGTGGGTATAAGTAAAAACAATATAACTTATTAAAGTGAGTTTGTAGTGATCTGACTCAATTTTATTTACCTTTATGTACTGCACACTTAAGTAAGTGGGAGAACATTATGCACGGCAACATTCTCAACAAAGAAGAATTTGTATGACATATAAAGCAGAGAGTATAAAAGCCACAAATGAAGTGCTGTGAAATATGAGTGTTATTATACCCAGATGAATATGTTACAGACTTGCATTTATTATCTCTCAGATATGACTTTCCTAACTTGACTCATATAACTACCAATTAGGAAAAAGTTTAACTGCAGCTTTCGTATTTGAGACCCTTACAAGTTATGCAAGCTCTATGTCAATTTTCATTCAAAAGACTATTTACACTTATTTTCTTATGTAAAGGGTAATGACTTCTCCATGAAACAGACTAATTAATACCATATACCATACAAAGCTTTTTATAGTATCACTATATACTTAGGTCAAATTTTACTTTAGTTTCTTCTTGAACATAATTAAATACCAGATAAATGCCACTTGCTCTCCAAAATAATTTCTGCAATTAAGTCAACTATTAAAAGAACTTGAAAATCCTCCAAAATGTCATCTGTGATTCTCTTTATTTTCTAACTCATTTTATGAAATGAGAAATCCTTAAGAATACCATAATATTATAGATTAATGTAACACATATAAAAATTGCAGCAACAGCTCACTCGCAATTTTTATTACATTTATGTCTACAAAAAATTGAAAAAAACTTACATAAATGAGTAAGCAGCTGAAGGGTAAAATCAAACTGTTGCCTTTATTAGATTCAAGTCTAATGTATTTCAAATAAAATATTTGTAGGTGCCACAGTCAATCAAGACTTCAGTGGAAAGCAAAGATGAAAGCATTCATGCACAAAAGGCACGTGACAATTGTGACATGTAGACAAGTTAATGGAAAATATTCTAGCCTTCCTTTAATTTTAATGTATCAACTGTTGCCTTGACTTAGACAACCTGCCACACTTAATGTAACATTTTATTATTTTTATTACTATAGGAGCATTTGATTAATTCAATAAGAATTAGTCAGTCATCGGCCTCCTTGCATAAACTACTTTTCTTCACATTACACACTTGTAAAAGTACAACTGAATTTTTTTACTACACATGTAATTAAGCACTAAGTCTCATTTATGCTATCTTCTATTAACACTTCTGATTAACTGAATTGTTGCCATGTAGATTATTCTGTATATTCACCTTTTTAATATACCCTATTGTAAAATTCAGACTGTATTTCAGCTGGCAGCAGCTATCAGACGTCTTACCCTTCTTAAGCAGGGAAATAATTAGAAACAGAAGACTACAAACAAAAATAAGTGAAAACCATGTCAAGGTGAGTATAAAGTTCAACATCTTAAGAACTGTATCTTCCACAGTACTGGCTGGACCAAAGATACCACAAAAGCAGCCTACTCAATGAAAAACAAAGTAGAAGATACTAGACTCAAACACCGAAAGCAGGAAATGTCAGAGACATCTGTCTGTAAAACTAACACACCTACCTTCTGTAACAATAAAAACCTATGTATGAGCATGTAGCTCTCCTACAGAAATCTACCTTCATTCCCTGAATAAATAATAGATTAAAAAACCTATCCAAAATGTTACTTTCATTGTTCAACATCTGATTCTATTTTCAATTTGATACTCACTGTTCAAAACCCAGTTATGAAATAAAAGTAATTAAGTTTTGATCATACTTATCACAGTTCAGCAAGGAAAGCAGATTTGTATTCACTACACATCCTTGTAGCATGTACTGTCATAGACTTATCAGCAGTAGTCGCCAACTTCCATGCAGGTGTGCACTGAAAATGCTGATTTGACATGCTTGGGCAGCTTCATTAAATAAAGCTATTATGAAGCATAGGTAGGTTACTGTTCCCATGTGTGGAAAAATGTGTAAGCCAGTATTACTCAGGCCTGACCTCTGCCTGTCCCACAATACTTTCACTAGTTCTTGTCCTAAGAACTGTTGAGTGATACTGTTGTACTGAGAAGAAAGTCTCATTTAGCCTATTACCAATTCTGACTAAGATAAGACACTGCTCCCCACACCATGTGTCCTACCAGCTTCTGACATACCATGTTTGTGGAGATTTCCACTACTTCCCCATGTTTCTATGTCCCACTCCTCCTACCACAGTAAGCCACCATTAGCAGCAGTAAGAGCCTTGAGAAATCTCAGGACCTCATCTGCCAACACAGTGTTTTCTTAGAGAAATTTACACTAAGCAACATCATAAGTTCCCATGAAAACGTGAACTTATTTTTTTAAAGATGTAGCAAAGCACATCTCTCAAAAAGTTACCTAGTTCCTGAATTTGTATAAGTTACCTCCATACCTGAGTAAACTACAATATGTCAAAGAAAAAACTGGCAGTTTTTTTAGTCTGCTCCAAACAATGGTACCCATCACTTGCACTTACTTTTAGAAAGGAATGAACAAATGTTGCTGAAATTGCCCATTCACTTTCCTTGCCCTCAAAAAAAAAAAAAAAAAAAATTGCTGAGCACACACTAGTTCATAGAATGCTTAAACCTGGAGTTAGCAATGAACTACTGCACAGCTATAAGCGGTCGATGTGAAATCTTATAATATGATTTTGAGCAGCTCAACCATATCAAGTAAAAATTCTATCAACCCAAATACCATCTTTCCAGTAAACATCAAAAGTGGATGTATAGAAGACTTTAAATATATCAAGCCTTTGCTTCTCCTGAGTAATCACGGTGTGGATCAAAGATTTGCTGTCTGGAGAACTGGCTGAAAGGCCAGGCCCAGAGAGTGGTGGTGAATGGAGCTAAATCCAACTTGTGTCCAGTCAGGAGTGGTGTTCCCCAGGGGTTGGTACTGGGGCCTATCCTCTGCAATATCTTTATTCATCACTTGGATGAGGACATTGGTGCACCCTCAGTAAGTCTGCAGATGACACCAAGTTGGCAGGAAGTGTTGACCTGCCTAGGGATAGCAAAGCCATACAAAGGGATCTGGGCAGGCTGGACAGCTGGGCTGACACCAGTGGGACGAAGTTCAACAAGACCACGTGCCGGGTCCTGCACTTTGGCCACAACAACCCCAGGGAATGCTACAGGCTTGGGGCAGACTGGTTGCAGGTATTGGTCAGTGCCCAGCTGAACATGAGCAAGCGGTGTGCTCAGGTGGCCAAGGTGGCCAATGGCATCCTGGCTTACATCAGAAATAGTGCTGCCAGCACAAGAAGGGAAGTAACTGTCCCTCTGTACTCAGCCTTGGTGAGGCCGCACCTTGAGTACTGCGTTCAGTTTTGGGCCCCTCACTAAGAAAAAGACAGCAAGGTCCTGGATCATGTCCAGAGAAGGGACAATGAAGCTACTGAGGGGTCTGGAGCACAAGTCTTATGAGGAGAGGCTGAGGGAACTGGGATTTGCCTGGTCTACCACATGCAACAAAATATTTATCTGTGAAAATCAGAACCTTCAACATATGCACAAGAAGAGTTTTATACTTTGCAGGTCATAAAAAAAAAAAAAGATGTGGAAATTAGAAATAAGTGACAACTCTCTCAGCAGAAACTCTCAGTTTTCATGTGGGGAATTTCAGAATAATGAAAATAATTATCCAGGTTGAAATCTGCCATTTTAATTTCTGCTTTTAAGGCTGCGAGCTCATGTCTTTACCTTCACATCTCAGTGATACACATGATATCACTGTTCTCAATAACTAGTTTAATTATTGCTCATAAAACCTGCCATGCATATATACGTGCATAAAACAGATATGAAAAGAAAATGAACAAGCGTTTTCAGAACTGTCCGGATACACAATACTTAATTATCAGCTTTCAGTGCTATTCATAAAGTCACAGAAACACAGAATGGGCTGGAATGAAGAGGACCTCAAAGATCATCTAGTTTCAACCCTATTGCCGTGGGTAGAGTCACGAACCACTAGACCAGGCTGCCCAGAGCCACATCCAGCCTGGTCCTGAACGCATCCAGGGGCATCCACAAACTCTCCAGCATTCCTTATATAGTATCATCAATAGCAGGCTATAAAACATATGCTACAGGTCAAGAAACATGCCTAATTATTCCTGTGTTTATATGTACTACTCAATCTAGAAATAAGAGGAGATCTGTAGTGTTATTTAAAATAAAACAAACAATTGTGCAAGAAACATTTTTCTATAAATTATCCTTCTTCATCCTTTAGACCCCATCCCCGCAGTATTCTCTGCTTCTTCACAAAAGATGTTCCTCACACTTTCAGGGATCACAAGTCACTACGTGATTTGGGTAATTAGCGTACATTATTATGCTGCTCGTTGGCCAGTAGGCTGCTATAAACAAGATGTACAGTTGGTATCGTTTGTGAGCCTCCCCCCTCTCAGAGGTACTAAGTTTCCCTTCTCTACCCTGACATTCCATTCCACTTCCGTGAAACTTCAGAAAACACTGTTCTCTTAAACATTTCTTTCTTTGAATCACATTTAATGAAATTGACTATAAATTTGAAAGTTTCCAATGGCAAAAAACTATGATAAGGAAAAGCAGGGGCATGGAAAGAGGCAAAGACATTTGCAATGAAAATCTAATGAACAAAAAGGACAACATTTTGTGTTATTTTCACAAACATGACTAACCTAAAAATGCCACCACAAAATAAAGTACTAAGAAAAAGGCCTTTAAAATTCCTCAGAGTATTAAAAGGCGTTCCTGGCTTGCAAACATAAAAGTCACTTGATGTTAAGAAGTAATAAAGCAGAGTAGTTCAGTAGAGGACATTTTTCAATTTGCTGGAGACTTGTCCTTCAAACATACAGAAACACTGAAAATATTACCTTGAGCCAGTCGTTCGAGCCGTTTCCCATGCTCTGGAGGAATTGCATACCTAAAATTCACGTGAAGAAAAGGATTACACTTTTAAAGAAATAATTACTTTACAAAACAGTATTTTGCAGATAATTAAGCACCTTAAGCACAGAAAATAAGAAGATTAATAAGTGAAAAATTATATAGAAAAAATACACAGGTTGCTCCAAAAGTAATGCCTCTCGTTTATTTCCATGGAAATGACAACAGACACAAAGAGTATAATAACACTGTTTCAAAGAGCACATTCTCAGCTACAGAACACTGTCCTTCAACAGCTAGCTATCAACCGTTAGCTATGCATTTTCTAGTGATGAACAAGAGCCTGCATGACAAGCTCTCACAAATCTGCACTAGTGGAAGTGACCCACTGTTGCTGTCACCACTGCTGAAATGCACCACCTCACTGTGCTTACTTCCACTGGTTGGTGTCCAGAAATGTTCAACAAGTGTCAGTGAATGTCAATTGGTGCCATTTTTTCCACATGGAAGAATTCAGTGACACACCTTTGCTCCATCTGCACTTCCATGTCAGACACCACTCTGTCAGAGAGCTCTGTTGCTGCCATCTGTCACATGGCAACAAAATGCAATACTGGTGGGAAAGTTCAGTCTCTACTGCAAAATCACTAACACAAACATAATGGACCAACATCACAAAACAGGATGCATTACTTTTGGAACAGCCTTCATGTATTATTTTCTGAGGAAAAAGTACAGATTAAGGTATTTTGAAAAACAATTTTAACTTACCATTAATTTAAAAATTATAATACATAGTTCAAAAATATATTACCATTTAAAATCATGCATACTGACATTCATAACTCCAATTAAAAAAGAAGCGCTTTTCTTTTCCAAGTGAAACAAAAACGCTTATAACAAAATAAATACAATTCCCACAGGTTTAACTTCTTTGCTTTTTAATGTATTTCACAAAATACATTAAAATTTTCAGCAGAAAAATATGAGTATTAAATGTCTCCTGCATTTTTTTCTTACTGTCAGTGCTGTGGAATGAGAGGCTACTTGTCTTTGTAACTCACTGCAATTCTTAAGAAACACATTTTCTAACAATTCAGAAATTTTGCAGATCTTGGAAACATTCTGCTCCTACAATAAAATATTTTTACACGATTCCACGAGCAATTTGCAACAACTTCACAAAACAAGTGATACCTGAGCAAACACAGAACCTTGTTCTTCACAGATTTAGTGCACTTCATAGACATGTCACCAGTATGTCTATGCATTAGACTCTACTTTTGACTTCAACAACTTCAGTGCGTGATATAATTGGCCTTCAATATTTTAACAACACTGAATTAATCTTTGCTAAAAAAAAATACAGCTCAGAAAGGGGAAAATGCATACTTAGAATAATTCAAACCCACATTTTATAAGTCAACATGCAGATTTTTCTCTTGTTCTATATTATGAACACAAATTTACTTCATATTTCCTGTCAACTCACTAAGAAAAAACAAGCAAGCCATTCACAGCCCCCACTTGGCACAACATTCCTCTATTTCCAGCCTCCATTTGCACCTATTGCACACACAAATTTTTAACTATTACAACTGAAACTGCGTCAGAGAAGCAAGACTATTCCAACACAACAGTCTGTGCTCTAAACAGAACAAGTTTAACAAAGCCAATGCCTGACAGCCCACTCCAAATGCTACTAAACAAAGAGACTTTTGGCTTGACTCTGCTCACTGACTGCAGTTTTCTTCAGAATTTTATCTTTCCAAAATTGTTTCTCCCCAGTTGTACTGTTGAACTATGCCTGTTCTCCACCACACATTAAATGTGCAGCTGCACACACATAATAATCTAAAATATTTTTAACTTTCACACCTCAGCTATATAGCTATGTATAGCGTTTTCTATTGCATTCCATGCCATTAAACACTGAACTCCAAAGTAAAACCAAAATAGACAGTATTTATGTCTAAGAAGACAACCTGAAGATTTTCCTTTGCTTTTCTCGTCTCTAATTGGACTGGGGTTACTTTGAAAACTTGTTCTTCTGTAAGTGCATCGGGCTGTATTTTTATGATAATACACAGCCATATACCTCTGTCTATACCTGCATATATGTTAAGTACTTACCAGTAGTACAAAAAGACAAAACTTGAAAACTAAGGTCACATTAAAAATGGTATCTTTTAAGCGATTAGGAAGATAAATGGGGACAAGTGATTTAACTGTGCTACACCTATTTATTTAGTGAATATAAATTTATCAATCAATAGTTCATTAAACCTAAGTTGGTGCTTTTCACCATTGTCCTCTTCTGGTGACTGCAGCAGCATCTAACCTTTGATCCTTCATTTCTTCCCTCTGATGCTATTGCCTTTGGTTAAGGGATAAGGAAAAGGAGGCTGCCTTTGCAGTATCATTAGAAGATCCAAATTCACTCTCCAGACACAATGGAGTAACACCTCTCCTTGGTTCCAAACACAATATATAAGAAAACTGTGCCTTTTTAAATGAACATGCCTGTCTTGGAAACCAGACCAAGTATGGTGATGTGAATTTAACTAGATGCTTGGTCTACCATATCAAACATTAAATAAAAAACATTCAAATTCCTTCTCAGATCATTAAGTCAGTGTAAAAAGGAAAAAAAGAAAAAAAAAGAAAAATATATTGTCTCTCAGGCTCTTTAGGTTACATAAGATCTTTGGCAGATTTTTGGATCTCATAACACAGAACACTTCATCACTTCAAATACACAGGTAAAACCGACTGTTTCGAGCTGAACTGAAACAGATTCTACTGCATCCCACTAAACAAATACAAAGAATTTAGTAATGGCTTTTCAGTTTTCCCCAGCAACACAGAATATTTAGGGCCAGGAAAAAATACGACATTTCTTCTTAAATAACAGTTGGCATGAGTTTTTTTTTTCTAAATAAATCTCAGCATCATGGAGTAACATTCACTGCTTACCCATAAACTACTGATAATGAAGGCTCACTGTCCCATCTATATTCTTCAGAGGAGACAGTAACAAACTACAGTCTGTTCCCTGTGATCACTCAGTCCCACAGCTTAGAAAATAAGTGTGTTGACAAACATAGTTGACTATGCTGTGAAAAACCAATGCTCTGCAAACTCAGCTGAAATAGGCAATGCACAGCCCGCTTAGATTTAATAATATGTATGTTACTATATTTTTTACACTCTGAGATGCAAAATGTAAATAACCTTCAAAGTACTGTTTTCTTCACATTTACTTTTTAATGAGAGTGAGTTTTCCATGTAGGAAAACAGTTTCTCCTTGCATGGCAAAGAATATGGCAAGGAAAAAACGAAATATGCATTTTACTCAAGTTCAGTTTTATTAGGAACATGTGGATGTTGCAGGTCTCTATAACAAGACACCAAAGAAAATTTCCATTTCCTTTAATCTTTCTTTAAGTCAGAAATGGAAACTTCAGCACAGCTCATTTCAACAAACTAACCAAAAGCATGTGGACCTCAGATGAAACTGCTTAACTCAAAGGAAAACGTAGACGAAAATTACAGTTTTCAGAAGAAAAAATAACTAATACACATCTGAGAAAACACAAAGCCAGCTAATATCATCTCTCCACAGCAATATTACTTTCTAAATTTCCATTTGAGAGACCATGGCAAAAACATCAGGCAACAAAAAAAAAAGTCTATTACATTAAAAGTGCTTATGGAAAATAGGACAAAAATCATTTATGTGAACAGACAACAGATCTTTTTAATAACTTTAAGGCACAATTACATCACTTATCAATAATTTTGTGATTTTTGTATTAATTTCATGTTCTTTCCTCACTTTCAGTTATGGTATAACCATCTGACTGTCCTGATAATAAGCACAAGTCACAGTAAAATTCGGTTTCTGTACTTATATTTAAATGAGACAGAGGAAATGACAGAAAAAGCCTAAACAAATTCGGATAATAAATATCATTATACTAATGTAATTTCAGGGAAAAAAATATAGGAAACAGCATTACTACAGCATTTGAATTTTAAAGATTTTTTACTCAATCTCTTTTCCATATCTGCGTTATTTAAAGTGTCAGAAAGTCAAGCTTCCAAACTCCGAAAGGCCATTTGAGTTCAATTATGGTAAAATCACTGCACACAACTTAAGATTGCATCATTTCTAATATTGCTGCTGTGTTAGTGTGTGACATTAATATATGAATATTCATTAAATGATTCCTTCACATCAGTCTGATGTTGTAAAAGCATTCTAACACCTCCAAAGTACACACAGCAGTCTGCAGAACAATCTCTTGTTTACAGGGGTAAATACACACTCATGTTTGTTTTTTTCCCTTTTCCTCCACGGTATTCAAAAATAGTAACAATAAAACTCACAGAAAGTCTTAATACTGTTCCCTAGCCTTAGGGTTTTTCCTTTTACCTCATGACCAGTTAGTGGAGATTAAAGAAACCTTCTGTTTGCAAACATTATAAATGCAAGGTTTCTCATCTTCTATACAACGAAATCTTCCCTCCTCCATCCTCCTTATTTGCACCCACATCACTAGTAACGTGGAACAGTGAAGAATATACTCCCATAACTTAACTATTAAGGTATAGTTTGGTGAGATACAGGGTTGACAGGCTACCTTAAGGGAATAGAAATAGCATTTTCACTTCTTTGTTAGATTCTTGGTTGCAGCCAAAATGCATATTTATATAGAAGGACTATCTCAACATTCTTAAATAAGTTCCCTGCTTTTCAGTGATGACTTAGAAATACAACTTCAAAAAAAATATGCATCCAAATCCCAGTTACTACAGTTCTTACATGATCAAACCACAAGATTTTAAATCTTCCCTTCTTTTGCCTATTGTCTAGACTGAGCAGTTCTTCATTCATCACGTCTATCACAATGTATTCCTTCATGAAGGACCTATTTTCACCCATCCGAATTATGCAGAGCCCAAACAGTGATTCCAGGGTTGTAACAAAATTAAAAAATCTGAACCACACTATAAAATTAATTAATTGTAATT